TAGGAGAATATTGAAAGTGCCATGGGCTGCCAAAAGAAGCAATAGATCCATTTTGGAAGAAGTGCAGCCAGAGTACTCCTTTGAGGCCAAACTTTGTCTCTCATACTGTGGACATATTGTCAGGAGGGAACAGTCACTGGAGAAGGATATCATATTTAGTAAGGTGGAGGGTCAGAGAAAAAGAGGAAGACCCCCAGTGAGATGGATTGGTCAAGTGGCAGCATTGATGGACTCAAGTGTGGCAACAATAGTGAGGTTGACCTAGGATAGGGCAGTGTTTTGTTCTGCTGTGCATAAGGTCGCTATGAGTCGGTACTGACTCGATGGCACCTAACAACAACAATATCCGTAAGTATAGGTCAAGTTTATCAAATTGTAGCAATTTACACTTGTTTCCTTTATCAAAAATTGCCTTTCTTCTTCCTCTGGTCGAGTTCTGATTATCAAGCCATCGAGGCTAGGTCAAATGGGTACTATCTTCAAGTTTGGGCATTCTTGTGCTTCTCCCCTCACTTCATATCAGCTGGATGCTGCACTTTCAGCTCTAGCCCTTGGCTATAACTTTGTCCATGGGATCAGACATGCCCAGGTCTCACCACACTTCGGCCCAACCAGCCCTTTCTCTTCTGTCTGTCATCTCCAGATCAACGGGAGTCTATGGAACATGGTTGAACTCAGCCCATTTTTTCATTGCTGCCTTTCCCCCTTTGCCACTCACCATTAGACCTATGTGGTTGCCAGCAATCTTACATGCCTCCTCATGTGTCCCCTTTGAGTTTCAGTCTTGGAGGGAGGTTTGTCTTGAAGGGACTTGATTGTTTTTCTTGATGACCCCCCCAGTGAACAACTTGCTTATTCCTGTAGTAGCCAATTATATTGCCATTATTGTTTTGTTTTCCTGCTTATTTTTCTTTGAAAATGTATCTTCTGTTGCTCTAGCTGTTCCAGGCTGGTCTGATTGTCATTCTAGTAGGAATGTCCCACCTCAGAAGGTTCTGGATAGGGCTCAAGATTCCACTTAATGTCCTATACACTGCAAAGGCTGCGCAAGAGGACTATTTCACTGGGCAAGTTCTAGAACCCCTTTTAAGTATTCCAATTTGTTATAGGCTGAAGACAGGCTTATAAGCTTTCTGTAGTTATGTTTCCCAACATTCCCTTGTATCCCACCAAGTGTTTATTTTACAACAGTAGGCAAGGGAAACCAATATTCATTAGACAGTCAAGCATCTTAGTATTATTTCCCCTTTTCAAACTATGCCTACATCCCTGTATTACAGAGTCCTGCTGTTCCAAAGTTGAGCTTGCATCACTATTTACCTCTGTCCCACTTAGCCCATGAAAATCTGTCTCAGTGTTCCCCTATCTATCTTGTTCTTCCACCCCTGCCCCTGTTGTGTACTGCCTTTCACAACACCCATAGTATGATGTATCTATCCACTATCCTGTGCTCTACTGTCTCCTCCTTCCACCCCTCCCAAGTCCTCCCACCTCACCCCCACTCCACTGGTAACCAACAAAGAATTTTTTCCCCTTTTAGTATTTTTTTTGTAAGCTCTTATGATACTAGCCTTATATAATATTTGTCCTTTTGTGTCTGACTAATCAAAATGACATTTTTGCAGACTGTTAATAGTGTGGGCAGAGGTGTGCGGGCATGCATTGCCATACAAGATCACAACACCCTAATATAGCAGTCCTCTGCATTTCATCTGAAGTTTAGGTTTCAGCTCTTCAGTGAGCATCTCACTGTAAGCAGCACTATTGATTGTTGAACATTTTTCTTGATAGTGCGCCAATACTAATCCTTGAGAATTCCAGAAAAACAGCTGATGGTTGACTTTTGAACTTTTTCATCCCATATTCTGCCATTTACTTTCAGGCTCGTGGTCATGAATCCATGTCTTCTCACCGGTAACGACTTTTAAAAAGAAACATTTATCTTCCTCCGAGTATCAGTTCAAATTTGGTTTGCAAATGTCTGAACACTTCTATTTATGCTCTTCTGTGAGCTGTTTTGTTACCCATCTTCACAGTTTTCAAAACTCAAGTCTGATGTGGATTATTTCATAGGCAGAGCCCTGACTAAATTGCAAATGGTTTGCCATATAATTCACTGTCACTAGTTTATTCGACAGAATCATTTCATGTGCACGTTCAGTGTTGTCATCAGCCATGGACATGGATGGGTGTTTTAATATAACCAGAGTGCAGATAATTTTTGACTCACCCTCGTGTGTGTGAGTGTGTGTGTAGACATATGAGAGTTCTTGGTTGGTGTAAATGTTTAAGGAACTTGATGTTGACTGAAAGGTTGGAGATCTGAGGCCATTCAATGGTGTCTTGGAAGACTTCAAGAATTTCTTTAGAAAAACCAGCAGTTAAAAGCTCTAAGGAGCATCGTTCTCTTCTGACACACATGGGTCACCATGAGTTGGAATTGAATCAACAACAATTGCTACTGGTATATGTGTATGTGTATCTGGTGACTAACTTATGTTGTTGTTGTTAGGTGCCATCGAGTTGGCACTGACTTATAGCGACCCTATGGACAGTAGAAAGAAACAATGTCTGATCTTAGGCCAACCTCACTATTGTTGCTACACTTGAGCCCATCGATGCTGCCACCTGGCCAATCCATCTCGTTGGGGGTCTTCCTCTGTTTCTTTGACCCTCCATCTTACCAAACATGATATCCCTCTCCAGCGACTGTTCTGACTAACTTACAAGTAGGGTAAAATCTTCCCAGTTTGAGACCTAACCATAATTGGGCTCCTCATTATGATTTTATTTATATTTGGGACAAATAACCCCCAGAAAACAGCCAAACGACTTACTCAAGGTATACAGCTGTTTTGGCAAGATGGAGTTTGTCTTTCCATCAGTCTTGGGAGATAATACTGGACTTGAGTTGAAACTGCCATTTTGTTGTATCTGACTTTTTTAAAAATCATGGATAAAAAAGTCTTCATTTTCTTATATGTTAAAAGGGTATCATATTACCTACTCAATATCTATTTTATAGACCCACTGTAAGATAAAGTATGTAGAAGCACTTTACATAATAAAGCAATATCCACAGGTTAGCATGATGATAATGGTGATTAGCAGGCTGGGGAACCTAGAGAGGTAATATCTAAAATTGATTGAATCTCAAGTATATGTCAGACATTGATCCAAATGTTTCACCTATATGAATTATTTTGATTCAGAAATGTTATTATCCCTCTTTTATAGATGAGGCAACTAGCACACAGGGTTTTTTGTAACTTTTTAAGGGTCCTATAGATAATAGTTACATAACAACAACAGCAATAAAATAGTATGGAGTCCTGGTGTGGCGCTGTGGGTTAGTATGCTGGACTGCAAAGTAGTTTTGCACTTCAAGGTTGACAGTTCCAGCACACCAGCTGCTCTGGGGAAACCCTATACAGGGTCGCTATGGGTTGGAACAACGACATAATTAATAATACAAGAAACCCTGGTAACATAGTGGATTACCTGTTGGGCTGCTAACTGCAAGGTCAGCAGTTTGAGTCACTAGCTCTTCCTCAGGAGCAAGATGAAGCGTTCTGCTCCTGTAAAGATTGACAACCTTGGAAACCCTATACAGGGTTGCTATGAGTCAGAATTGACTCCATGGCACACAACCACCACCATAGCTAATAGTTGAGTCCTGGTGTGGTGCTATTGGATCAACATTGGACTGCTAACCACAAGGTTGGTAGTTCAAACCTACCAGCCACTCCTTGGAAATCCTTTACAGGATTGTTATGAGTCAGAACTGACTTGACGACACTTAACAACAATAGCTAATAGTGGAGTTCTGGTGTGGCACTGTAAGATAAGCACTGGACTGCTAACCATAAGGTTAATGGTTCAAACCCACCAGTCACTTCTCAGAAACTCTGTACAGGGTCTCTATGAGTCAGAACCTTCTTGATGTCGCTTAAGAACAATAGCAACAATGATAACTAATAATGGAGTCCTGGTGTGATGCTACAGGATAAGCACTGGACTGTTAACCCTGGTTCAAACCAACCAGCCGCTCCTTGGAAACCCTATTGTTGTTGTTAAGTGCCGTCGAGTCGGTTCCGACCCATAGCGACCCTGTACAGGGTTTCCGAGGGTGTAAATCTTTATGGGAGTAGAAAGCCTCATCTTTCTCCTGTGGAGCAGCTGGTAGTTTCGAACCCCTGACCTTAAGGTTCACAGCCCAATTTGCAACCACTACGCTACCAGAGAAACCCAATACAGGGTAATTATGAGTTGGAACCTACTCAACAGCACTTAATAACAACAACATAACTAATACTGGTAAAGACTGGGCTAAAATCCAGGTCATATTTCTGGGACCATGTTTTTGGTCATGATACACAGTCTGGAGGCTAGCCAGTACAACAACAAGGTGATTGAGTGATTGATTGTTTATTTTGTAGGCACTGTTCATAAAAAGAGAGCATTTTGGGGGGGCCATGGTATGGACACTGGACCTGGATGATGTCAAGGGCACTTTCTGTGGCAACGGCCCTTTCCCCCTTGTTCATATCCTGAAGAATCTCTTGATGAAGAACAGTAAGTAGTTAGGACTTAGAACATGGGGTTGGGAGTTGGGTACTTAGGCATTGACTGTCTTGGTTATTATCTAGTGCTGCTATAGCAGACATACCTCCAGTGGATGACTCTAATAAACAGAAATTCATCTTCTCACAGTCTATGAGGCTAGAAGTCAGGGTGACCCTTCTAGTTGAAGGCTTTCTGTCTGCCAGCTCTGGAGGAAAGTCCTTGTCTCTTTTTATTTCTGTCCTGGGTGATCTTCATGTGGTTTGGCATCTGTCTTCCCCCATCTCTGCTAGTACTCTTGCTTGTTTAATCTATTTTCTGGACTCCTGGTGTGGCACTGTAGGATCAGCACTGGACTGTGAACCACAAGGTTGATGGTTCAAACATACCAGCTGCTCCTCAGAAACCCTGTACAGGGTCACTATGAGTCAGAATCCACTGGATGGACAGCACTTAACAACAACAACATTTTTTTTAAATAAGTTTTTATTGTGAATTGAGGGATAGTTTACATGGGAGAATATTGGATTTCCACTCATCGTTTCATTGAAATTATTACAGTTTCCTCCATGCATCATCATTCAACAGTATATGCTTCTATTCCCTCTTTTTTTTTTGGGTGTGTGTGGGGATATACACAAAAACACTTAGGAATATAAGACCATTTAAACAACCAAAGAGCACATATTGCAAGCCTGCCTTCTGCCCGTCAACACACAGCCTTTCTCTTTCCATCAGTTTAGAGTCCTTAGCTGCTCCCTCTCTCCATGCCTCATCTCTGCCTCCATCTCTGGTGTTGCTGCTTCTCTGGATAGGGTCCCACATTCTGCTCATGCTCTTCTCCCTTGATGATCTCAGGGTTCTCTGTTTCTGGAATGTAAGATTAACTACTCCCTCCTTTTCAACAACAACATTCTTAAAAGAGATTGATATAAGATACTTCCTGCAAGGTTGGTTTGAACTTCAGGTCTTTGGTTCAAACTCACCAGCAGTTCCTTGAATCCCTATACAGGGTCATTAACTGACTCTACAGCTCTTAAGGAGCTCTGGTAGTGTAGTGGTTATGAATCAGGCTGCTAACCTCAGGGTCAGCAGTTCGAAACTACCAGCTGTTCCGTGGGAGAAAGATGAGGCTTTCTGTTCCGGTAAAGATTTACAGCCTCAGAAACCCTGTACAGGGTCGCTATGAGTCAGAACCCACCCCAGAGCACATCACAACAACAACAGCTCTTAAGGGCACATAACAACAACAACAAAAGCAACAGCTCTTAATAACACAACAAACACTAATTCTGAATCATTAACATAACAAAGACAACATCTTTCTAAATGGGATTTTAACCACAGGAATGCAGTGGTTATTTCCAGGTGGTGATTTCCAAGGAGCAGCTGCAATTACCAGTCCAGAGCTTGTCCACAGTGCCATACCACAGGCCTGGTGATGGTGGTGGTTATGTGCTGTGGAGTCAATTTTGACTCATAGAGACCCTGTATAGGGTTTCTGAGGCTGTAAATCTTTTGTTGTTGTTGTTGTTAAGTACCATGGAGTCGGTTCTGACTCATAATGACACTGTACTCTGAGGATGCAAACCTTTACATCTTTCTCCTGCAGAACAGCTGGTAGTTTCAAACTGCCAACCTTGAGGTTAGCAGCCTGATTTGTAACCACTATGTCACCAGAGCTCCTTAAATCTTTAGGGAAGCAGCAAGCCTGATCTTCCTCCTGTGGAGCAGCTGGTAGATTTGAATTGCTGACCTTGTGGTTAGCAGCCCAGCAGCACACTACCCCCAGAGTATTGTTAGGTATTGTTAGGAGTATTGTTAGGCCAGAGCTCAGGTTCGGAATTACAACACACATTTTGTGGGGCCATAATTCAATCTGTAATAGACAGTGAGGAAGGGAGGTCTTTTCTGTTAGGTTTAAAGACGGAGTGTTCACTGCTGTTGAGACATTCTAGGAAGAGAATAAGCGTTGATGGCAGGACAATCGGTTTTCTAATATCGGTTTAGATGTTTGCTCCTCATTTAACTTGTCTGAGCTTCAGTCTCCTTATCTAGAACATGGGACTAATTCTAATTCATTAGTAGAAGAATCAAATGATATATGGAATTGAAACTGTACTGGCACTTTGTTGTTGTTATGTGCTGTGGAGTCAGTTCCGACTCATAGCGACCCTGTTTCCGAGGCTGTAAATCTTTACAGGGGCAGAAAGCCTCATCTTTCTCCCGCGGAACAGCTGGTAGTTTTGAACTGCTGACCTTGCGGTTCGCAGCCTGATTCGTAACCACTACGCTACCAGAGCACTCAATATATTTTAGTATATTTCCCTGTTGCTTTACCCTTCTTTCATGGGGCAAGGACCAGAAAAATGATTTAGGTTTCTGATGGAACTTGCCATACTAGAGTTGAAACATCCTTGTTGTTGTTAAGTGCCATCGAGTCAGTACCGACTTATAGAGACCCTGTGTAGGGTTTCCAAGAAGCTTGAACCACTGACCTTGTAGTTCAAAGTGACCTTGCAGTCCAGTGTATTAACCACAGCGCCACACCAGGTGATTTATAATCCTCCTTTTGCAGCTAAGGAGACGGGGAGTCAGACAGGCCAGGTCTGGGTAACACAACTAATAAAGGATGGAAATAAGTCTGCAACATCTTTTCTTGAGCAGCCTTGCTTGTCTTGGCTTTGTTCCTGGTGCCTGGAGTTTTCTGCTCAAAGACTCAACAACTGACCAGGCCTTGGGAACAGGTCTTGCTGAAGGTGCAGAGACAGACCAAGGTGTAAACTTAAGCACACAGAAATGGCTGGCTCCCAAGAAATTAACAAATCCACTAAATGCCTCTGAGTGCCTGGGGACTAAGTTAACATGGTGGGGTGGGTAGGGGGAGCAGGTCTTCTCTGTGACAGGATTTCATCTATGCCCTCAAATGGGCTTCAAATTATTTTGAAACCTCCCACTTGTGGATTTTGGAAGCAGCACCTTCAGCCCTGGCATGATGCTAGCCCTGCCAGTAACTAATAATATTGAAAGAAACAGGTAGGAGTCATCCTTTTCTGGTAGTTTTCTTAAGAGTTCAGCTCAACTCCTTCATCACGGTCTTGATGAGTTCTATTATGAGTTCTGTAGTAACTGAGCTTGAATCAGGCTGTGACCAAGGCATTGATTATTCATTTTCAGATTTTTTTTTCCCCCCTCAGGAGAAGAGATAGAGGCCACTGACAGCCAGAGAAAGTATGAATCTATGATTACAAATGCGACTGTGATCACAAGAAGGGAAGTGATGATGCTTGGGAAGTGCAATGTAACTCTGACTAAGAAGACCCTGACCCCTGTGGTTCATCTGGCTGTCATCCCTGGAGAGATGGCCTTGTCCCCTAAGCATCACCTGACTGTGAGTCCTGAAAGGACAATTATGACACCCGCAAATTTTCAGACTGAGACCTCCGGAGAGATGGCTGTAACATCTACAAGGAAGTCTATAGATTCTGAAAGGGCTACTGTCCCCTTGGGAAGAATGGCAGTCACCTCTGATGAGCAGACTAAGATTCTAAGAGGGGAGAATTTGACTTCTAAAGTGAGCATTGACTGCCCCAAGCACCCTTAGGTTTTTAGACGGAAGCTGAAGACATCATACTGTCCTCTGGTTCTGTCATACAGCTCCCAGGAAACTTTCTCCTTGCTTTTGACAGTCTCTTTGTTTCCATTCATAGAAATGATTCCTTTGTCAACTCAATGACCCTTCCAGCAATTCTTCTCTTTCTAAAAAAGGAAAATCCATCAAAAATCCTTGCTGCAAACCAAGGATCTTAAGCTTAGATGGTGATAGAAGCTGTGGAGAGCACTTGTCTTCTAGGTGACCCTACAGAAAGTCTGTTTCCTCTACTCACAAACCATTCATGGAGCAAAGCAGGCTCCAAAGGCCCAGTGGGTCAATCTCTTTTTTGTTGAATAACTGGAAGCATAAAATCCATCTGCAGTCTCTGATGTTCTTGAAATCACTGTGCCATCTAATTTTTTAAGATCACCTTCTCCTGCTGATATTTTTTGGGAAGAGATAGCTTGTGTCAAGCCCACACTTGTTTTCCAGTGTGGGTCAGATGCTTTTCTCTTTGCCATGAGAAAATGCGAGCAACTGTTCACTTCATTGTTGGCACAATGAAAATCTCTGCATCCTACAATCCTCAAGGGGGCTCTGAGAAAGAAAGGCAAGATTTTACTAAGCAGAGAATTTAGAATGCAGGTGTATTTTTGGCTTCATAAAATCTTAGTTGACCCTGGAAAAACACCTTTGCTTATTTTCTCCATAAGAAGTGCTTGAGGTGAAGGTAAAGCATTTTTTTTTTTTTTTTTTTGCATGTGTCTCTGTGTTATTTGCATACACTTATAAGTATCTTCCAGAGACACTACTTTCTCCTTACCAAACTAACATACAGAACACTTTTGAAATAAATGGAAAGAGACGAAGTCTCAGCAAAGATGTAGAAGAAATAAACATAAATAAAATGGGAAATTCAGAACTGAATATATAATAACCAAGATTTAAATAATCAACACTGAGTAAACTCAGTAGCAGGATGGATATAATGGAGGAAGGAGGCAGTGAACTTGAAGATAGATTTATAGATATTATCTTATCTGAACAACAGACAGAGAAAAAGATCTGCAAAAAAACAAAACAAAACAAAAAAAAACAATGTCTCAGAGACTTGTGGGGTAATACCAAAAGCTTCAAACCTTGCCATTAGATGTATAGTAGAGAAAAAGGGCCGTGGAACAAAAAAAAAATATTCGAATAAATAATGTCTGAACACTTTCCAAATTGGGTAGAAGATACAAATGCAAAGATTCAAGGAGCTCAGCAATCTTAAACAGGATACACTCTAAGAGATTTGTGCCCAGACATGTAGTTAAACTGTTGAAAGTCAAATATAAATAATGCGTATGGTGATCTCTAAGATTATCACTAAAAGAATAGGGAAAATATGTTTCTTCCAACTAAATAGAGATAAAATTAACCACATAAGAATCCTGGTGTGGCACTGTAGGATAAATAGTTTATCACAAGGTTAATTTGAACCATGAAGTCGGTGGTTCAAACTCACCAGCTGCTTCTCAGAAATTCTATACAGGGTCACTATGAGTCAGGGCCAATTTGATGACAACCATAACAACACATAAGAAAAATTATTCAATACAAAATAATTCACAAAGTAGGGCACTATAGAAAACACTAAGTAGATGTTGTTGTTAGGTGCCATCAAGTTGGTACCGACTCGTAGTGACCCAATGCACAACAGAATGAAACATTGCCCGATACTGGGCCAACCTCACAATTGTTGCCATACTTGAGCCCATCGATGTTGCCATTTTGCCAATCCATATCGCTGGGGGTCTTCCTCTTTTTCTCTGACCCTCCACCTTACCAAACGTGTTCTCCTTCTCCAGCAACTGGTTCCTCCTGAAAATATGTCCGAAGTATGAGAGATGATGTTTGGCCATCCTGGCCTCCAAGGAACACTCTAGCTGCACTTCTTCCAACACAGATCTATTGGTTCTATGGGTAGCCCATGGCACTTTCAATATTCTCCTCCAACACCATAACTCAAAAGCATCAATTCTTCTATGGTCTACCTTATTCACTGTCCAGCTTTCGCGTGCATATGAGGTTATTGAAAATACCATGGCTTGGGTCAGGCATACCTTAGTTCTCAAGCTGACATCTTTGCTCTTCAACACTTTAAAAAGGTCTTGTGCAGCAAATTTGCCTAGTGCAATACATCGTTTGATTTCTTGACTACTGCTCCTGTGAGTGTTGATCGTTGATCCAAGAAGAATGAAGTCCTTGACAACTTCAGTCTTTTCTCTGTTGATAGTCAAATATTTAAACACAAATTGATTTCTAATTACAATACATGTATATGAACTAATACCCCAATTATAAGACAGAGATCATTATAATTCATAAAAATCAATTTTATCCTGTTTACAAGAGACATACCTACAATTTAAAGATATATGATATTTTAAAGTAAAATTATGGAAAAATACAGTGTTAAAGTACATATACTAGTATACATATACTAGCAAAAATAAACAAAATTACAAAATTCATATTCTTAAATGCATCAGAGAATTGTAGAGGTAACTAGGACAACATAAACCAATAACATCATAGAGAGGGGAAAACCATCCTGAGATGAAATGAAAATGACCATCTTTTTACCTGCAGTTTCCAATTCTGTACTATTTTTGGGCTTTATCCACGGAAAAAGCCATTGCTAAGGAAAAGAGAAATTAGCAACATGTTTGAAAGTCACATGGAAATGGAATGGCAAATGGGAAGCTTGAGGGACTTAAAAAACATGTCTAATTTTCCCAAGTTGTATTAGTTTCAGGAGTTGTGTAAGAAATTATCAAACCTGACCAAACATTTCTAAATGGCGAAGTGAGTTCTCGTATAGTCTGATGGTGCTAAGGGAGCAATGATTTACTGTGGGGAGGAGTCTGCCTCCAATGCTTGCTGCATGGGCAGAAGACTGGAATTTATAACGTGAAAATAGAATGTCCCTCAGTCTTTCAGGGCTTAAAAGATGGATATCCACCAGTTGTCAAACAAAAGCCAAGGAGGGCCATAACTAAAATGAGAGAATATTTCTAAAGCTGCACCTCAGCCGAGACCCACCTCAATCCCTAAATAGAGTGAGATTAGCTGACCGTTCCTCTATCTGCAAAGGAGCTCTGGTAGCATTGTGGATTATGAGTTGGGCTGCTAACCGCAGGTCAGCAGTTTGAATCTACCATGTGCTACTAGGGAGAAAGATGAGGCTTTCGGCTCCCATAAAGATTTACAACCTCAGAAATTGTATACAGGGGTGCTAAGAGTCAGAACTGATTCCAAAGCACATAACCACCACCACCACTACTCTATCTTGCTACTGGAGCTTCTATCCTTAATTTATATACAATACCCAGCACTCTAATGAATGATATTACATGCAAATGGCAAGAGAATATTATTATTAATCAAGAGAAGAAACATACTGTAAGAGATTGAAATCTTGACATTACAGAGGCTTTAAAAATGACTCTGATTACTGTGTTAAATAATATAGAGTGACAAAAGATGTAAAACCTGGAAAATCTCACTAGAAAATTAAAACCTATTTTTTAAATAACTGAATTACATATATCCAACAAAGGATATGCACCAGTATAATAATGCAATAATATAAGTTTTCATTAAGCTACATTTTCCAGTAAGGTATCTGTCTGTCTGTTCAGCACTTGAAATGTAGCTGGTGTAACTCCAAGGAAGTGAATTTCAATTTTATTTAATTTTGATGAATTTAAATTTGAATGCACATAGACTTGTTGTTGTTATGTGCCGTGGAGTCAGTTCCGACTCATAGCGACCCTGTACAGGGTTTCCGAGGCTGTAAATCTTTACGGGAGCAGAAAGCCTCATCTTTCTCCCGCGGAACAGCTGGTAGTTTCGAACTGCTGACCCTGAGGTTCGCAGCCCGATTCGTAACCACTATGCTACCAGAGCTCCTTGCAGACTAAGGCCTACTATATTCCACTCGAATGTCCCTAGCAATACTATTTCTAATACCTAAAAACACGTTGTTGTTCTTAGGTGCTGTTGAGTCAGTTCTGACTCATAGTGACCTTATGCACAATGAAATGAAACACTGCTCACTCCTGCACCAAGCTGACAAGTATGTTACACTTGAACCCATTGGTGCTGAATGCTTCAATATTTCATATTCTGGAACTATCTGACAGTGTTCCACTGCTATTCTTAAGATTTTCAGTAGCTAAATATTCAGAAGTAGTCCATCTCGCCTTCTTCCTAGTCTGTCTTAATCTGGAAGCTCAGCTAAAACCTGTCCACCATGGGTGACCCTACTGGTATTTAAAATACCTGTGGCATAGTTTCCAGCATCACAGCAACATGCAAGCCACAACAGTACTCAATTGACAGATGAGTGGTGGACCTAGAAACATAAGATTTCCTAAATAACTACCTAGAATAGAATGACTAAGTAAATTACAGTATAAATCCATAGTAAAATACTATATAGTAAAGATAATTCCTCACAATGGTAATATTTTATAAAACTGAAGTTTACAAACATATGTAAAGCGATGACAGATGAAAAAATTACAGGTATAATGCCATTTTTATAAAATGCAAAAACAGGCAAATGAGTAAGTCAGAATAGTGATTATACTTGGGTATGTGCCTGGAAAGGAGCATGATGGGCCTTCTGAAGTGTTGGTCATAACGTAGCTGCTTCTCATCAAAGAAGATAGGAATTAACCCTGAGGAACTTTGGCGAAGAATTTGGGGGTGAGTCCTGGTGTGGTGCTGTGGGTTAATTCACCAGACTGCAAAGCCATTTGAACTGCAAGTTTCAAAAACCCCATACAGGGTCGCTATGGGTTGGAACTGACTTGACGGCACTTAACAACAACAATAGCAACCTTCAAGGCGAATGTTGTACCCTTCATCACTGTCAATTATATTATATCCTTCCTTATTGGTGGTAAGAAGGAGGGCACATGAGCGGATCCTAGGGTGTGGGAAATGATCAAAGGGAAGACTACAAGAGAGAAGGGTGCTGTGAAGAGATAGGTATGTGTCTGTGGAGTGGTGGTTGTCTCTTGAGGTGCCAGGTATTGGTAGTGGGATGAGAATTTGGAGAGCAACTTAGTAAGTATTGCTCTTGCCTTCCCTCACATTTCCATACCACCATGTACCTGTTCTATTACCATCTGATACCACTATCAAGAGCTTAAATGGGCTT